ACTGTGATTCAAGGAGTTGGTTACTTGCTTAGCCTCTAATACAACTTCGTATGATTCCCAATGCCGTAATGTAACTTTCATGTCACGTTTAGTACCGACGAATATTAGGTATGTTAAATTGTGACCACAGTGACACTGGGCGTGGACCAGCATACAATAAGACACAGCTAGCAGTCTCAATGTTACGCAAATCACGACATGACTCTGTGACCCCGGTGGAAAAGCTGGGGTAAGCGTTTCCGCTGACTGTACCACTAATATACGCTAGCCCCGTGATGTATAATTATCCAATCAAACTGCTGTTAATTTGTAGTAGAGTACATGAGCTGGTCACGCGTAATATGCGTGTGTACGGTGAAATGGACACACAAAAGGTGTACACGCTTAGTTATGGATCGAAACAGGGGTGTCCGGACACCCCACAAAGGTTAATGATTTTTTTGCTTCCAAACCATGCCCCTATAGTCTATGGATTCAAGTACACAAATTATTAACGTTCTCAACAGTACTTGCGCATGAAGTCTCGAGTTTTGTTTAAAATTATGAAAATCAATGCTTCTCGGCACAGAGTAGTGTTCTTATAGGTGAAACAGACAACGAATTCCAGATCTCACAGAAATGAGCGACGTGTATCATATTCCCTGTTTCTTGTTATTGTATTTCAGGAAAATTAAAATAAAAAAATCAGCCTAAAGAACTGTAATCTGCCAACAACACAGCTGCTAGAGCAATTTCAACGCTAAAAATCAGTACACCGAACATTCACTCATACAGAAATGTTTCACCTCCAATACCATTACGTATTTCAAAGACAGCTTACAACAGAGATTGCAATATACATTAACGTTGTCGAGAAAATATCATAGTCCGTAAGTTCAAATGGATTGCTAGCGAATTTTAAATTTGCAGTGGTCATAATACAGACGGTGGTCACCCGAGTTATGACGCCGTATCGTTTTGCCGGCGAAAACAAATGTTTCGGGGGTACATGTCGCCTTCATCAAGAGATTAAGTGGCGATACATTCCTCAGAAAAATGTATAACTAGCAGCGAGACTACACGGCGTTGTAATCCAAAAATACTGAAGTACACGAAAATTCAATACGTTCACTTCACTTCCTGAACCTCATGTACAATTTCCATTCAAAGAACTACAAACGAAACAAGGCAACACACATATTGAGAAGCCTTTCAATATGAAACGTCCAATACTGTTCCACATCCGTGCTTAACGTCCCGTTGGGTACAGATTGATTTTGAATTTTGTCTGAACGCCGGCTGCTTTCGCCTCTGGCCATGTTTATGCAATGAGGCTGCAGCGAGGACACGAAGAAAACGCAATGTTCTATTCTTCGTACATACACACAGAACAAAATGTATAACGGAACAGAAGGTGGTCAATTACGAACAAAGATCAGACAATCTCTTGCATCCCACAAGTGTCAAGGTCTATAGAGCGTGGAGTTGTAATTCGCGTGCCTCAATTGAGTTCATGGTGTCATGGCGAACACAAGGGACACCAAAACCTTCATTTGTCTATAACTCTTCGTTACGAGGTACTTAAAACGAATGTCTGTTTAGGCAAGGGCGGGTGTAGGTTTGTGATACAAGCACTCCTTTAAGATCAATATCCTGAGAATATTTAAGACATTTCTGAGATTTGAGTTTTTCACGGCGCACTTCAACCCTGAAGGTTAAGGCATGTTCCTCCGAAACGTGTCGATATTCAACCAAAAAGCTATGTGGCCGAACAACTCAGAAGAACACAATGAGAGTTAAAATATTTCAACATAACTGGAATAAAAGTTGAAAAAACCAAAGTTATTTAAGTAAGATTTTAGGTTTTCACATCGGTGAGTAAGAAGATTTCTGTCTTCTGGGTTGTTGCGCGATTCATCGCCCTGATGACGGAGGCAGTTTGACCTCTGAAACGTTGGTAAACATCGACCAGACTACACAGCGCAACAACCCAGAAGACAGAAATCTTCATACTCATCGCCCTGATGAAGGAGGCAGTATGACCTCTGAAACGTTGGTAAACATCGACCATACTACACAGCGCAAGAACCCAGAAGACAGAAATCTTCAAAGTTATTTAAATATTAATTGAAGCATTTTAATCCCCCTGACCGGCAGTAAAGATATCGGAAAATAAAATAAAATTATTGACAAATAACATCGTTGTAAAAGTAGTTCGATTCGTAACACAGTTCAGGGGCTTTTCGCAGCCTCCCGCTCAGTAGGCACAGAGGGCTCCTTCCCTGGGTGCGACATTACAGAAGAAAACCATCTTCATACTTGCAGCCGTGAGAACCTCATATCTCACCATAAAATATATTCGAATAGACTCGCGCCTTAACACAGACTGACATCACGTATAACAGAGAAAGAAAGCAATTATAAGGAATAAGAACTACTATCGTATTAAGTTCGCCTCAATACCACGGCAACGTCTCTGATAAAACTGTTATGCGGGTCAGTCTAACCAGGTCACTACAGGCAATAGCTGTAACTGCTGTGACTGATTTATGGTGTCAGAAAATGCAGTCTGGCGTTGCAAGGCCCTGCGAGGTATCGATATTTTGAACTGCCTGCCCCAGATACAGATTATGGATTGCGTGACATACACGTAACATGTTGCGAGTGGCGTGGTGACAAACTCGCGGCAGATGTCTGTTGTAAACTCTGAATTTATCATTCAGAAACAAAACTGGAGCTGGTGGAGAAATTCTCCCAAACCTCATTACGAGTTCACATGCCAGGTAGTGGACCAAAATGAGAATGAGTTAAATCCAGCCGATAGTACCACATTCCAATCTCCATGTAGGTACCAAGAAAAAATTTAAATACATGTTATAACGTACAAGGGGATCTTGTCATGTACCAGTTACTTGTACGATGAGGAGCTTTCCAAGAAAAATGATCAAGTACAGTCTGAATTTCTTATACAAATATTAAGACGACACTAAAACTTTAAATACAAAAAATCATCAGAATCCACTGAGCATTTTTGGATTAAAAATTTATACAGACACGGCTTCCTATTAAGGGTTAATTTTGTACAATTCGAGCAACGAACACAAAGATTTATAAGAGGCTGTTCCGTTATGAATTGTAACAAGAGAGCGATCCCTTGTCCGATAATCTAGGAAGAGAAAGAACACCTCCACCGAGCCATTTCTAAAATTGACTTCATGAACCCCCTAAGACGGCTGAATTGATGGAAACCTGAGCACGTACCTCTCGGCGTTATATGAGAAAGCAGGAAGCTGTAGGTGGGTGGGCAGCTTCATATGAAACGTGACAAATTGCTGATTGCTTTCGGTCTTCTTGTCATCACCTTCTGGACCAAATTACACTTATTCAATATGAAGTCAAATATTCCCTTGCGGCAAGCTATCCCGCAATACCTGTGTTACATTCGTTATGAAACAGGTAAAATTTATCATCAAGAGGTACAGCATTCCTCGTGAAAGTATTAGTAGTAGTAGTAGTAGTAGTAGTACTACTACTGCTACTACTACTACTACTAATAATAATAATAATGTCTTGTAAGAGCTACTATGTAACACAAAATCCCATTCCACAATATATTATAAATATTATTGTTTTATTGGTGTTTATTTGGGTATGGAAGTAATAAATTAAAATTGCATTCATGAATATGTTAAGAGAAGATTAAATTCTGGGTAAGCTTGCTACTCTACCATTCAGAATATTTTGGGGTCCCACCTTCCCATCTAAAACGCAAATATTTAATAAAATAAAAATTCTGTCATTCTGTATGGGTGTGAAACAGATTAAGATAACAAAACAGATACGCGGTGTGAGATAAAATGCTGAGGAGAATATTTGGACACAAGAAAGAGTAACTGAAAGGAGAATGAAGAAAATTACATAACAGAAGTATCGCAATTTGTACCCTTCGCGAGTAGGCCTGTTATTAAGATGATGAAATCAAAAACAAAGAGATGGGAGGGGCACGGTGGACGCATAGAACAAAATGCATAAAAAGTTTTCAGGTGGAAAACCTTTCTTTAGGGGAGAAATCGCTTGTTATTAGGTTATATTAGGGTGGATCTTAAAATAAGAGCGACTATTAGTTTCTTAATGATTCTGCTCCATTAAGCTGGGTATTATTGGTGTGTGGGGAAATTATGTAACGCAGAGCTTCACATTTCAACAATCAAACCCTGATACTGTTGGAGTGATTAAATCAAAAATACAGTGACCTGCACAATTTCGAACTCTCATTTACATTTTGTTTATGCAATTTGTGCAAAAAATCACATTAAATATGACAATTACCATCTGTTAGAGATAACATGAAACTGGATTCGATTACCAGACCTCTCAGGAGAGTAATACAATCAACCATGACTCCTCCGAGAGGCCGTGGTTCTGATACTGGCAATGTTTACTTTTTTATCTGCAAACATATGTAGTAATTTTAACCGATACGGGAAAGCACAGATACAATGTTAACAAAGCCTAAAATAGAGGGCTGGTGAGAGGGGTAATAGCCCTTATGGGCAGGTAGCTTACGTGTATCTACACTGTTTGTGTTCTCGTTCAGGACAGGCAGAATAATATAGAATTCGTTTCATTTATTTGATCAGGGACACACAAACCCGTGTGTTTCTGCACAAAACCCGCAACTATTTTCACTGGCAGGATCGCTTGGTCGCTGGGACCGTGGGTTCGAATCCCACTCAAGCCATGAATGTTTTTCTGTGTTGTGTTGTCCTGTGTACAGGTAGAGGCCTTGCGACGGGCCGATCCCTCGTCCAAGGAGTCATACCGAATGTCTATAGATAAAGCCAAACGAAAAAGTTGGGACTCGCAGTGCTCAGGCACTTGAAGAATGGGTCGTTCCCAGTATCCCAATATATCGGCTCTTGAGCTTACACAGCCACATACTGAGTACCATGGGTTAAGCAGCCGGAGCGTGACGCTGATCACTCACATCCATCTAACGCATGTAACGTGGCTGTACCTACCTGTTGTTCTGGTTGTCTGTGTCTGTGGCGGATGCTGAGTCCAAGTTAGTGACTGGACCCGTGGTGACGTCAACCCCCATGGAGCCGATGTCAAGGGCCGCGTACCCTCTCCTGCCCGGGGTGCCTCCTCCAGTTGGCCCTTGCTGCTGCTGAGGGCCCTGTGAAGTCTGTTTGCCAGTGGCGCGTGTTGCTGCTAAGTTGCACACAGCATCCAACTCGTGGTACAGATCCTCATACAGCTCGTCTGTGTTGGAGTTGAGGGCATCATCCAGTCGCGCTGGATCCAGATGATAATTCGGATTTTCGTAGCTTAATAGGCCGTTCTCTGTGAACAAAACCACATTGCGTAGGTACACGTACGTCAATTTCGTGACACTTAGAACATGTAGTCTGGTAGAAGTTGACCAACATTTCAGAGGTCCTTGCTGCCTCCATCATCAGGTTGATAAGTGACCTCAACCCACAAGACAGCCATCTTCGTACTCGCCATAGTGAAAACCTAAAATCCTGCTCAACACCGTATTCAGACCAACACGAGTCTGAGGAAAGCACATGAATAACTTTCCGAAAACGGAACAGATCTAATGGGCAATTAGATACTTGACAGGAAATAGAAGACGTAAATATAGACGATATAAATTACATTAAAAGGTATAATATAACCGTAAAACATAAGAATCTACAGCCAAAATAATAACAAGAACTGGCACTAGGCTCGAAGGTGGTGTTCTGGGTTGTGACGCCGAATAATTCCACGCGGCGTCACAACCCATCACTTCAAAATCTCATATGGCATTGAACACCTTCACAAGAGCGAAAAATGTGCAGAACAAGAAGTAATGAAAGCAAGAAAAATTGGGGATGAAGACCGGAAAGACAGGATGAAACGTGTTTGAAGTTCTCACTGCAGTGAAGATATTGACCGCGGTCTTGTGGGTTATAACTCCGTGTAGATTTGTAGGATTCAGTGGAACGTACCGCCTCATACGGTCACAACCCAGAACACCAAAATCGACAGGAAGAACTGGAGTCTGGAAAATCAGGAATGATGTCGTCTATAAAAGAATCAGAAGGGTGTGCGTAACATCACAGATTTGTTTCTCCCTTTAGATACTAACGCGAAAGTAACATACATTTTAGCGGAACTATGTTAAGTTTTGAAAACTGCAAAGTCATTTTCGAAACATAAATGCCTACATTTACACTACTTTAGCTGTTAGGTCTCATTTACTGTTTATCACTCCTACACAAAACAATTGTTTTATTTTCAAGACTGTCTTCTGGCTAGTAGCGCTATGTAGTATGGTAGAAGTTTACCTACGTTTCACGTGTCCTTGCTGCCTTGATCATCAGGGTTATCAGCTGTCGCCCTGATAACGGAGACAGCAACGCTGGTAAACATCTGCCAGACTACACAGCGCAACAACCCAGAAGACGGAAATCTTCATACTCTGATGATGGAGGCAGTATGCCCTCTGAAACGTTGGTTAACATCTACCAGATTACACAGCGCAACAACCCAGAAGACGGAAATCTTCATACTCTGATGATGGAGGCAGTATGCCCTCTGAAACGTTGGTTAACATCTACCAGATTACACAGCGCAACAACCCAGAAGACGGAAATCTTCATACTCTGATGATGGAGGCAGTATGCCCTCTGAAACGTTGGTAAACATCGCCCAGACTACACAGCCCAACACCCCAGAAGACAGAAATCTTCATACGAAGAAATACTTTACCACGCAATTACCCTGACATTGGTTGTCATACCAGCCTTCTTAATTCATCGTTAAAAATCAGTTACAGTTCCTTGTAATTCTATAATATTAAATGCATATAAATTAAACGAAGTTGCGAGTCATCTGTCGGTCAACAAGGGAACTACATACCCCTTGTATCACGATGGCAAATACCGAAGAATGAAACAACCGCACAAGTGGTATATTACGTCACTCCCAAATCGTAAACTCGGATGCCATGTTGCTATTAATGGTAGCAGGAAAGTAAGTACGAAGATGGCGACAATTTCATTGCTGTTCTGCACATGCAAGGTTTCATGAAAATCCGTCAATTTATTCTAAGGCTGCAGCACAGACAGACACGCATACTGGCACGGCGACCATAATGATTCCATGCCTTGAACTTCCTTAGAAATGAAAGTAAGCTAAAGTTAGTATTCGAGGTCGAATTGTGGCTATCGCATAACCAGCACGACAGTAGCATGAAAAGGTATGTGGGTTTTAACCGGAAATTATTAATAATATGAGTCAAAAATAGGATAATACAATTCTTACATGAGTGCCACTGCTTCTGGGCTATAAATGTGAAAAAGACTGCCGATACAATAAGAAGGATTCGTCTGGTCTTGTATTGTATTGATCCGGTGATCGCCCCACTTACACGCAAATACAGAAATGCCCGATCACTACATCTTCACAGAAGGGATTTCACCCAACGATAAGAAAGAGAGTAGAATCTAACGAGAAAGTTATTGCATTTGCCAAGAGACTGTACCCATACACCCCTGTTAACTATTTCATCGGTCCCTGATGCAGGTTTGTCAATTATTTCGTTACAAATTTTGATCATTACCCACTTTTATCAGTTCAGACATTCCTTAACCAAATTTGTCTGTTTCGTATTTGAAACTGTGCCAAGTAATTTTTGACTGTGGTTTGGATACCTTCTAATGCTGGCTTCTCTTAACGAACACTGAGCGGGCTAAATTCTTGTCTACTTTAGTTACTCGAACTAAATATAAATTCCAACGAAAAAGACACAATACGTTTTATAGAGATCTATGCATCAAATAAACCAGTCACTAAAACACTTATTCAATAAAATGCATAGGAAACACAAAAACAAACCATTTCACTGTAAATTATCTCTTTAATTATTTAATTATCTGAATGTAAGACTGCTTTTTTTAATTATTAGTGTTCTGTGACGACAGGTCCATATGAACAGGATCCTTCCATCCTTTTCTCGGACTGGGACCTGTTCATATACGTTCTTAGCAGATGATCCAGAAGTGGTTTGCCATTGCCTTCTTCTGTGTGTGAATGGAGTAATTGTTGGGATGCCACGGAGAAACCGGGGAGCCCCAGGAGGAAAACTCCGTGATACCTAGACCACGGTCTTGCCCAACACAAGTTATAAATCTGAGCACCACCGGGAATTGAACCCGGGACCCCAGGATTACAAGGCTAGTGTTCTGACCACTAGACCACCGTGGCGGTTGTAAGACTGCTACCTACATTTAAAGGTCACTAATAATCGGGAAAATATGATATATATTTTTACTTCATCAGCGAATTTAATTCAACTGTTTTGTATAAAGATATACAAAAATTAGGTTAAAACAATGTTAACACACAGTTGCGAGATGTGAATATGCGTTGACAAGAGAAGAACAAGTTGCATGAATCAGGCTTTTAAAACACTTCGCTGGATACACATGAAAATGAGAAAAAATTAATACTGAACTGTGTCAGAAAGTTTGGTCTAGGTTAACACTTAACCAAATAGGACAACATTTCTGACACTGTTAATATTTGTAACGAAGTAACGTTATTCGGAGAATACTCGTTGCCATTAAATTTTAAACAATTTATCTTTCAGTCTGCTATCTGAAAACATAACATAGGCCAATAAAACTACAATTTTATTTGTTGTTTTGTATGGGTGTGAAACTTGATCTCTCACATTCAGGGAAGAACCTATAGTGAGGGTGTCTGAAGACAGGATGCTGAGAAGAATACTCAGCCTTTTCGGAATGAAATGACAAGAGACTGGGAAAAAGTGTAAAATGAGGAGCTGCACATTTTGTACTTTTCGCCTAATACTGTCATAATGATCAAAACAAGGAAGATTAGATGGGCGAACCATGTATGGGGCAAGGGGACACTAAACGTGCGTACAAAATTTGTGTTGGAAAGCCCGAAGAGAAGAGACCACTCAGAAAACCTACATGTAGGCGGCGGGATAATATTAAAATGCATTTAAGGAAAGCGTGAGAGAATGTGGGCTGGATTCATGTTATTTAGGAAAGGGATCGGTGGCGGGTTCTTGCGAATACGGCAATAAAATATCAGGTTCCATTAAAAGCAGAAAATTTTTGAACTAATCTATCGACTGTTAGACTTTGCTGAATGCAACCGATTTATATATCGTTGCAACAGATTTTCATTCGGAATAAAATAAACATTTAGGCCAATAATAAAAACAACGCAGCAAAGAAAGCGTTTGTAAAATGTATTTTAGAGCACACATCTGCAGTCTTCATTATTTGCTGCAGTAAAAAGCGCCCTTCAAGCAATAACATCTCCAAAGTTCGCACATTTGCCCTTCTCATGTCTGCAACATCTGCGTCGAACAAGACATCGGATACAACACAGATCCCCGGTCTGTTGAAACTTGTATTCTCGATTCTGGCGACCAGCACATTTTTTACAACCTACCAACTGTAATACCAGCCACTGTAGGCATACAGTATAAAGCTAGATCGATCTCCTCACCCCTCTGCCCCCTCAACCCGCAATTATTTACGAGCCGAACTCAACCCCACAGACGCTATTGCAGCAGACATTTTGGCGCCTGCCAGCCGCTATATCATCCATTTAACCGGCCGGCGCCCATCAAACAAATTGTCGTTATTTCAGGTGTTACGACAACGCCTGCCTCGGTGCTGAATACGCCGATCTGTACAGCAAAGAGACTTTCTTTTCGCCGTGTGAGGGCTCAAAATACCGACGCCAGTATATTAGTAAAGATGAGATTTTGTAAAAAGAAATTCTCAACAAAAGGGATGACCTTTACAAAAACGCAAATGTGGTTCTAAGACGGACAGGAACATAATATACTTATGACACATCCAAAGTTTAGTGTTACTTTACGCGTGAATATAATTCTCTGTGCGTCCGATTTCTAATTATGTTGTATTTATTAATGTTATCATCAATTTCTTCCTTGAGGGCACGTTATCAATAAGGGAAATGATCTAGATAGGTTGTCTTGATAGCTGATTTAGCTTGGTTATTTGTTTTTTGTATCTCTTTAGCGTTTAACATTTATATTAGTGTTTCCCTATGTGGATTATTTGTTTTTATTTATATTTCTTCATTTATTTTTCTTTGTGTATAATACTATTTCTATTTTTGGGTTTGCCTGTATTTGGCTGTTATATTTACTACTGTGCAGGTATATGGTTAGTTAAACTGTTTGTGTAATATTTTTCATTTTTATTGCATGTATTATCAGTGTTTGCCTGTTATTGGCTTCTTGCTGTTGGCAAACACTTCAATAAATGAATTGAATTGAATCT